ATGAGGGGCAGAAATAGAAATTAAAACATATTGGTTAAAGTTGGTTTTCATTACCTTTCAGTTTTAAAACCAATAATGATTAATTTATTGGTTTTCATTACCTTTCAATTATGAAAACCAATTACAACCTTTAAAAGGTTATGGTCCCTATTCCTTCCCAAGTGAAAAAAGGTTTGTTTTCTAAATCCTCTCAAGGAGAAACATAAGACACCAAAGGGGAAAGGATTAGAAGGCAATAACATAATCAATAACAAAGGAGTGAGAAAATAAAAGTTAAGAGTCAATTTTAAAGTGAGTTATATTATACCTTGAGCTACCAGAACATGTTTTAAATATGTCTTGAGTTACCATAATATATTTTATGAATATTTAGAGCTACCATAATTTATTTTATATAATTTATATTTTATGGTTATATTAATATTTCAATTACGTGGATTATTTTTGAACCTTATTTGCTTAAATTGAAACCCATGGATATGTTTGTTTAAATTTTAGAAATTATTTTGTAAACAATTATTTTCTGTAAGTACTACCACGGGAGTCTCATGCCTTGGGAACTTAAATAACCATTGGCCCTTGATTGACCACTTTGTGATTCCCTATTTGTCATGGATCCATTGACCCATGTTCTGATTGTCACTCTAATGACCCCTGTTATGTTCTGTTTTGTACCATGGTTATAGTTATTTATTTCAGTTTCTGCCACTTAATTAATTTGTGTATTCAACTCAAATTATGTTAATATTTTAGCTTAAATAACTATCTATGACTATTTTGTGCCCCTATACTCACAGTATAATATTTCTCACTCTGCTATGTGTTTATAGCTGTTACCCCTTTCAGGTGACGAGGTTTAGCGGGATCAAGATGGGAAATGAATCGCTGTGTTGTTTCTTTTTATTTCTTTTTTTAAAAGATTTCTATCTGTTTTTTTTTTATTGGACTCTTGTAATACAATAAAACTCAAATGACTATCTTTGTTTCCTTTTAATAAACATTTGATACCCAATTATTTTATTTTAATTTGTTTAATTTATCCGCTTGCGCTATGACTACAAAATTATTTGAATTATTTTATTTTTATCTTGTCACGACATCGAGCCCTTGGGTACCGGGTTTGGGTTGTGACAATGGTCGTTATACATCTCTGTGCCCTCCAAATGCACCGCAAGGCGTAAATGATAAAGCTCTCGGAGTACCTCCTCTCGGCAAGACTCCGGCACGAAGAGATGGTCAAGGTATCTAACATTCGAGTCAGAGTACACGTTAAAGCCTTTCTCCACCTTCCCACTAGAGATCTTCTCTCAGAGGGATTCCACTTCAAGGTCACCTCTCTATGCTTCTATCACTTGGTTCACAAGTGTAGGTTGTGTAACTACTAAAAACAAGGCTGCCAACTCAACGAACTCGCCGAGATGCAAGTCAAACTCACCGATAGCACCCAACATTTCCCATTCCGGATGGCAATACAAGTTACACTGCTAATAGATTTCCTACTCAATGCATCGGCCACAACATTGGCCTTTCCCGGATGGTAATGTAACTCAAAGTCATAATCTTTTATGAACTCAATCTACCTCAGCTACCTCAAATTCAAGTCTTTCTGTGTAAAAAGATATTTCAGACTTTTGTGATCAGAAAACACTTCAAACTTCTCACCATACAAATAATGCCTCCAAATCTTTAAAGCAAAGATCACTGCTGCTAACTCTAGGTCATGAGTAGGGTAATTCCTCTCATGTGTTTTTAACTGCCGCGAGCCATAGGCTACTACCTTCCCCTCTTGTATCAAAATACAACCCAAACCTTCCCGTGAGGCATCACAATACACCGAATAACCCAAATCCCTCTCCGGAATAATCAATACTGGAGCAGTGGTAAGTTTAACCTTAAGCTCTTGGAATGACTTCTCACAAGTCTCATTCCACACAAATTTGATTCCCTTCCTCGTAAGCCTAATCAATGGTGAGGCTAATTTAGAGAAATCCTTCACAAACCGACGATAATACCTGGCCAACCCTAAGAAACTACAAATCTCAAAGGCATTCTTAGGTTGTTCCCAATCGTGTACTGATTCTATCTTAGAAGAGTCTGCAGTCACCCATTCCTCTGTTACCACATGACCTAAGAACTTCACTTCTTTTAACCAAAATTCACATTTCCCGAACTTAGTATACAATTTGTTAGGCCTAAGGCCATTCTGTATGTTACTGGGCTTAAAGCCACTCTGTTTAAAGACTGGGCCTGAGGCCGTTCTGTAGGTAATCAACCTGGAGGTCAGTCTTAACCCATGACGCTCGTTTCTCTTTTGTCAACTTCAGGGTGTCCAGACACTTAGATGAAGCCCGATCATTTTTGTGGAGTCTTGCTAAGCTTTTGGCTTGTACTCTAATTGTCTGCCTACAGTTGAAATGTATATAACCCCTTATACTCCAATGCTTTTGTTACGCCCAATCTTGGGGCTGGATCTGTATATGTGTGTGTACATAACTATCTATCTGACGCACTATTTGTGGTCTTGGCATAATAGTGGTCGCTCAATGGATGTGATTTTATGTTATTTTATATTAATAAATGCTTCCGTTCAAACCCCATAAGTTATGCATATCGGATTTTGTGTCTATTTCTGAAGTGGTCATGCCCAAATTTTTAGGGGCGGATTTTTGGGGTGTGACAAGTGTCGACACCACCAAAACTGGTGTCGATCCCAAATTTCAGTAGCCCCACCAAGAACACAGTAACAAGGCAGTGTTGACACCACTAAGACGAGTATCACCATTAGGAGCAGAACAAAACAAGAAAAGGAAGGCAGTGTCGACATTACCAAGAATAGTGTCAACCCTTGAAGCCAAAACCAAACATGAAAAGAAAAAAAAAAGATCGCTACGGATATAGTTTCTCCGGATTTAAAAGCAATATATGGGTTGGGTCTAAGCCCGAATCACTATAATTGATAGATGATTAACGAAGATATGAAAAATAGATTTTCCTCAAATATGTTAATATATTACAACATTATTAAGGAGTTTTCTTAAGTGTGCAAGTGCACACCATGTGCCACTTACACAAAAAGTGTAAGTGTAAGGTATAAGTATAAGTATAAGGTATAAGTGTAAGGTGTAAGTGGGTTGCACATGGTGTGCAACCTCAAAAAAGGTGTAAGTGTAAGGTTTAATTTTTTACAAAAGGTGTAAGTGTAAGGTGTAAGTGTAAGGTATAAGGTGTAAGGTGTAAGTTGTACACCATAACCAAACCCCTTTTTATAAATCAAGTACAAAAATATTGTAAATTTCCTATTTTGCCCTTCTTTTAAATTAATAAACAATTAAAAAGTACAATTATGACATTGATATTCCCAAAAAATGTACTATCAAAAGGGCAATTTTGGAAAACCAACTTTTTTCAAATGTAATGAGTGTACTACCAAAAAAAGTTGGATTCCCCAAAAGGGACCAATATTTTGGGACGGAGGGAGTATTGATTATTCTTCAAATATGTCGAATTCTTTTTTTTTTTAATCATAGATTTTATTAGTTATTAATCACTCTTAAAAGATGTGATCTAAATGTTTTTCATCACACTTAAAAGATGTGATCTAAATGTTTTTAATCACACTTAAAAGATATGATCTATATATTATTAATCACACTTAAAAGATGTGATGAAATCATTTTTTAATGACACTTAAAAGGTGTGATTAAAAATGACCCCTTTTAATCACACTCCCAAAGATCACACTTCAATAAAACTTAAAAGGTGTGATTAAAAAACATACATCACACAAAAAAAGTGTGATCTTTATCTGCATTTGTAGTAGTGTCGGCTCAGCATCATATGACACACCTTCATCGGGATCCCAAATTATGTTTCCCCCCCCCCCCCCCCCAAAATTTAGTTTATTGTAAACAAAGTATTTTAGTTCTCCTTCTAATCATTGGCCCTATTTGGTAGAGCTTATTTCCAGCTTATTTCAGCTTTTAGTTTAATTTAAGCTATTTTGAAGTGTTTGATTCAGCTTAACAATACAACTTATAACTTTTTCTAAGTCAAAAATTAACTTATTCTTTGAGTGAGAGAGGAAAAGCTTAATTTATAAGTCAATTGGTTTTCATTCCTTTTGAACTTCCACAACCTTTCAGTTTTGAAAACCAATTACAACCTTTAAAAGGTTATGGTTCCTATTCCTTCCCAAGTGGAAAAATAAGAACATTGTCATTTTTTTCCTAAATCCTCTCAAGGAGAAACATAAGGCACCAAAGGGGAAAGGATTAGAAGGCAATAACATAACCAATAACAAAAAGTTCATTGATAATCACGCTTCCGTTTAACCGTTCATCAATGGATTCAGATATGTCATTTTGTCTTGATTTCTTGATAATGCACATGGTAAATGATCCAAAGTGTAAGGTTTATGTTCTGAAATTTATGTTTACATTTTAAATTTTTTCATAAATATTTTCATTGTTTGATTTTCAAATTTTTTTTTCTAACAAAATAAAAATTAATTTAGTCATAAAATTAAAAAGAAAAATCAAAAAGTTCAACTTTGAAGTGAGATTAGGTGATAGTTCAAGAGAGTAAGTAATATTAGATAATAGTTCGAGAGACTAATGTATAATTTATTTAATTTATGAAAAAATATTTTAATCATAAAAGTCTAAAAAAGAATTTAAAAAAAAGTAAATAAGAGGATTAATTGTTATAATTTTTAATTGAGAAAAATAAAATAATACGAGACTTAATTACTCTGTGTTATAAGAGTAATTATTTAATAATTTTAGAATATAAATGTATAATATTTTATAATATTATGATTAATAAAAAAAATAGATAAAATATTATATTGAATAATTAAAACATATTAAAAAAATATAATAAATAATAATTAATTAAAAAATATAAACACATATTTCAAAAATATTGAATAATTTGCCGTGTTATATAATAAACTCCTCCGTCCTCACTGCCTCGGATATTCTTTATTAACTCATTCTTGTCCCCACCCTTCCATGACTGGCTGACTCTCTCTCTCTCTCTCTCAACTTCTCCTTAAAACCCCATCATAGAGCTCTTCCAATCTTCCGAAAACCCTAACCCAATCTCTAAAAAAAAACCCAAAACCATGTCCAACCCCCACCACCATTCTTCTCCTCTCCCCTCCTGCTTCCACCCCACTACCACCACCACCACCACCTCCAAGCACCGCTCCACCACCGCCTCCCAACCCATCTCCGGCAATCCCAACCTCACCACCTCCGTCTACCACACCAACCTAGGTCTCTTTGCCCTCACTTGGTCCCGCACCCTCCTCGGCCACTCCCTCCACCTCCACCTCCTCCTCCACGACTCCTCCTCCACCACCCCCACCCCCACCACCACCTCTCTCTCTTCCCCCTCCTTCCACCTCCACATCAAGCCCTTCATTTTCTGGAACAAACATGGCTCAAAAAAGCTCAACCTCACCACCACCTCACCCAAATCCATTCAAATCTTTTGGGATTTTTCAAAAGCCAAATTCGGGTCCCGACCCGAACCCCAATCCGGATTCTACATCGCTGCTGTCGTTTCCGGCGAAATGACCCTCCTCGTCGGAGACTCTCCCAACGAAGCTTATTCCAAATCAAGAGCTACAAAGCCTCGGAGACCCCAAGTTTTGGGTCTGAGAAGAGAACATGTTTATGGAAACAAACTCTACACCACGAAAGCTACCATTAGAGGCAAATCAAGAGACATATCGATCGATTGTAGAGTCAATGGTGATGATCCAAAACTCTATTTCAGTGTTGATCAGAAAAGGGTATTGCAAGTAAAGCACTTGAAGTGGAAATTCAGAGGCAATGAGAGAATCGAAGTTGATGGTGTTTATATACAAGTCTCTTGGGATGTATATAACTGGTTGTTTGATGATGATGAAGATGGGTATGCTTTGTTCATGTTCAGGTTTGAAAAACTGGGGTTTGAAGATAAAGAAGAAGAACAAGATCATGATGATGATGATGATGAGTTTAAAAAATTGAATATGTGGTCACAACAGTCATGTGGGTTTGGGTTTGAGAAGAAGAAGATGAAGAAAGGGTTGTTGAGGACTGCGAAAAGCTCGTCATCATCGTCGTCGTCGCTGTCTTCGGCTTCGTCGGGTAGTGGAGTGGGCAAGTGTGGAAGAGAATGAATTGAAAGACCCTTCTGGGTTTTCTCTGCTGGTGTATGCTTGGAAGAATTGATGGTGATGATACTAGTCTCATCTGATCTTGGTGGGTTTATTTTCTTTTTCTTTAATTGTTTTCCTAACTAACCAATTTGTTCATGAACATAAAACATAATAAATCAATGTACAAGAAAGATAATATATATATATATATAGATCATAGTAGATCATAGTACACAGATCTAAATTCTAGGTTCTAACAATCTTTGTTTATCTTTGTTGTGCCAAAAAAAAAAAAAATGAGTGACTTAGAGGGAAGAAGAAAAGTTTATTTTGTTGGTCAAATTATGGAGTTGGAACTTTGATTGAATTTGGTGTAATGTAATGTAATAGAAGTTGCAATACAATTTGAAATATTGCAAAATTCAAAGTCTTTGTTCATTGTCCACTTTGTTAGTTTCTTGGAATTTTGTTAGGCTAATAATAACCCCTTATTAGTGCTCAAATTCATTCAAATTTTAACAATTTGAAATATAGAAGATCAAATCACACCACACTATATAGAATTGATTGATCTAATGAGTTTTTTTATCAATGAATTGTAATCACAATTTTGAACTGTTCAAAATCTGTTACAAAGCAAAACAAACTAATTGGTCAACAAAAAAAAAAAAAAAAAAGAACTAATTGAACAACTAAAAAATATTTGATCGTTTTATTTTTAGTTAAAGTCTCAATGCAACTGATTTGATGGTCTGTTCATTTTATTTTATTTTATTTTCTTATTGACTTTTGAGGTATTTAACCGTGAAGATAGACACATCGAGTTGATTATTTGCTCCCATTATGAATTTTCATATAATAATTGTTGGGTTTATTATAATTGTCCTGATATAGTTTATTTTATATATGTAATTAAGCTCTAAAAGAAACTAAGAAGGTGGATATATAGTTTGATGAATTTTGCATTAGGTACATAAAGAACTCATAATATCCCAATAAAGCAAAAAGAGATAAAAAATATCAATGAAATTAATCATTAATAAGCTTAAGCATTAATTGATAGCTTATTTCATGAAGTGAGAAATTGCTATATAAAGTAACAAATATTATGAACCTTTCTTACTTACTAATTTGGCACATGTCATTTTATAGAAGTGAGTAGTGAGTTCTTTCTTTAGTTTCTAAAATATTATTATTATATTGCATAAAAAAAATTCGGAAGACTAATTAATTTTTACAACATTTTTCTATAAGTTAAAAAATATAATTTAATACCGTTAAAACACTATGAGCAATAATTTTTTAATAATATTATGATAATTACATTTATATTATATTTTATCATTTCATATATTAAAATTGGACTAATAAAAAGTATAAGTGATCAGATCCATTAAATCAATACAGTAATAAAACATAAAATGATAATTAAAACATAATAGTGGAAAAGTCTATCGTATGTATCTTTAGTTACGATTTTTTGTAATATTTAATTATGACCTATTAGTATATTAATTATAATTTATTGTAACATTATTATAACATTATTCTGATTATAATTTAAAAAGGAAATTATTATATCATATGTAGTATTTTATTATAACTCATATTTTTTCTAGTTATAACTTATAGGATTGAGTTATAATATTTGTAATAATTAACGATATAAATATCATAACTTGTACGTAATATAGACCCTCTTAATACTACCTTATTCTAATATTATTTGAATTAATTAATTTAGTTTATTATCTTTTTAGTTGTGATGAAGCTGGCATGAGTTGTTTTGATTATGATTGGAGTTGCATTTGTCTTTGTGAGAGATTCCATTTCCTTCCGACCAGACCAGTCTTTCGTTGTACAAACGTCGCATGTGAGTGTGGGCCCATTTTTGTTTACCTTTGTCTCCCCCCATTCAAGAAGTTAATGAGAAAATTACAAATCCGATGAAACATCACAAAATATTTATAAATTTATAAGAAAGTCTATATTCGCTCCGTTTTAAAATAATAGGTTTTTTTAGGATGTTTAATTTTTTTTATAGTGCAATTAATACATTTTAAAAATATTATTTTTTCAAAATTATCCTTTGATGGTATACTTTTTTTGAAAATATCAATTATCATAATTATACTTCTGTATTTTTAATAAATTTTAAAAAATAACAAAATAAGAAATTCATATTATTTTAGTCATTGATTTTTGAAATGAGACTAATGTTTTAGAACAATAAAAAATAAAATAAGGAACTAATATTTTGAGATAAAATTTATCATTAATTTAAAATTATTTTTAAAAATTTATACTGATTTGCAACTTTTTCAAATTATTTGGTGTCTTAGAACATTATTTCATATTATTTATTGAGAGATACTTGTTCAATTGTTTTCTAAAAAGAGACAAAAGATGGTGAGTCTCACTATTTCAGCTAATAAAAATTAAAAAAAATAGTAAAATATCTCTTTTCAACTTTGAGTAATAGAAGAGATTTAAAATTATTAGCTAAAATCCCTTGACATTTTCACAGAGAAAATTCGATTCAGAGAAATTTCGGCCTCGACTAGAAGAAATTTCAAAATTTCTCTGGTATGATCATAAACAAATTTCTCTGTGAATATTTAAATTTTTCTAAGTTAGTGCGAAATTTCTCTAAGTCAGCCAAAATTTCTTTGAGTCGAATTTTTTCTATGAAAATATTAAAAGACCTTAACTATTATAAAAATATTATATGGTATTTATTTTATAAAATCTTAATATTAGAAAAAAAAATGACTAAAAATTAAATTAGAACACCATATTAACAAGTCCTAGGAGCAAAAAATAATTTTCCTCCCATTCACCTTGGACTTGGGCTATCTTTGTTGTTGATTTTTCTCAACCACCGTTAATTAGGTTGACGATATCTCGAATCAAACAATTGACTGGTAATTTTACGATTAGTTTAAGAGTTACATATTAGTGGAAAGATAAAAATATACATATATATTTACAAAAAAAAATAATAAATGTTATAAATATTAATAATTATAATTATAATTTTTTTTTAAATATTTTTTTGAGTAAATTACAAACACACTCCTGAGGTTTACTTAAATTAAAAATTACCTCTGTAGTTTTAGAAATTACATTATACCCAAAAGATTTTTAATTTCATAACAAATATGTCATTTTATTAATAAATCATCAAGTTAATTAATAGTTTTTAATAATGTTAAAATTTTATTTCAATTGATAATTCAAATACTTTTATTATTATATAGGTGAACAATTAGAAATTTCACTTTTTTAATTAATTCTGTTGAATAAAAAATTCTGACAGAGAGATATTTGTAATTTTTCAAACTACAAGAAACAATTCGTATTTTAAATAAATCTCAGAAGGTGTATTTGTAATTCGGTGATACTATATGTATCAATTAGTGCACTAACTAGTATACCAACACTAGTTATGAAATTATTATTGACCCCACTTATTAATCACATTAAAAATACCAAAAATCTTTTAAATTATGTCATATTATCAATTATTGCACTAATTAATATACTAATTTTTTTGAACAATAATTAGTGTACTAATTAATACATATAATATTATTCTTTGTAATTTATTTATTTATTTATTTATTTTGATCTCCCCAGTTTGAAGTACAGTACAAGTAGCGGATATTAAACGGCACGAAAAGTTGTGAGAGAATAGGGAGTGTGTTTGACCGTTGGCTTGGGGTGTAGTGGTGCGGACTCGGTCAGTCTCGTGAACCTAAGAGACAGCGAAAGAAAGGAATCCTATATTATCTTTCAAGAATTTTATTAAGTGTTCTTACAGTATTATATGTTCACATTTTTTATTAATTGTCATTTATTATATTTTTTATATTTCTTAATTACTTAATATAAAATTATAATATCTTACATTCTTTACTAATCATAATAAAAAAAATACTTCAGACCTCCACTATTTTTGACCTCCACAACCCCTAATTGATTTGTGGCCACACATTATATATATATTTTTTCTCCACTCTCTTTCCTCCCCTCTCTTACAAAAGTGTGGGGGTGCTGGGGTGCGGAGGGTCTGGATCATTTTTCCTAATCATAATAATATAGAATACTATGGCTTATTTTGGCAACATAGTTTTTAGTCACTTTTTTTGGTCAGTAGCAAAAGTCAAAAGTTGGCTTTTTTGGCTTTTTTTTTATTTGGAAAGTTGGTTTTTAGCCAACGGTGAAATTACAATTTTACCCCTCATGGGTCAAAATGTGTTACATAAGTGAAGTTGTAAATATTTTAAATAAATGGGGGTAGTTTAGTCATTTTATTATGATTTGACATCATAAACAAATATTAATCAAAAAAGTCAAAAGTCACTTTTTACCAACTTTCCAAATCATTTGTCTAAAAAAGCCAAAAGCTTGGTTAAAAGCCAAAAAGTCACTTTTTACCATCTTCCCAAAATAAACGTATGTGACTATACTTTCAGAATATCTAATAATCATTCATCCAACTAATAGTAAAAAGTTAAATGAATGGATGGCCTTAATAACAAGGAGATGGTGGATAAAGTATGACATTTTATTACACATAGATACATGATCTTTTTAACCTATTAAATAATTTCTGCTATATTAAATTGTTTTTACTTTTAAAATTACTAAATTAACATTGAAGTTACATGGACGAATTACCCTTGCCACAAGATGTTATACTCTCTAGATAGAAATGATGTTGAGATTGAGGTGTGAGAAAAATCAATAGAATCGAATTGACCATTTGACATCAACCTCGAAATTTTTGGTAGAGTTTTTTTTTTTTAATTAAGATTTCAAAAAAAAAAATTAATTTCTTTCAAAACTCATAACCAAATAAAATTTTCAAAACTCAATTGAAAAATCTTTTCAAAACTCTATTTATAAAAATAAAAAAAAAAATTCAAAAATAATAATTTTATATTTTGTTCTTCAAAATTATTATTTTTTAGTTTGGGTAAATTACAAATACACTACTTGAAATTTGCTTAAAGTACAGATTGTCCCCTGTGATTTGAAAAATTATAAATACCACCTTGTTAGTATTTTTTATTTAACAAATTAACTAAAAAAATGAAATTTATAATTGCTCTCCTATACAATAATAAAATATTTAAAAAAATAAAAAAAAAAAATTTTATTAAATTTTCCAAAAAAAACTAGGTGGCGACTCTATAATCTAGCAAAGCAATCCAGTTTTGGCAATATTTGATTTAAAATCGATTTTTCAAAATGATTTTTCGGATTGGACTCTTTGGT